GGAATGGGTAGGCATATAAAGGGAACTGTGGAGAAAGCAGAGGGCATGGGAGGAAGCAGAGGACAGAGCGGGGCAAGACCAGCCAGATGAGGGCCTGAGATCCAACCGTACAGGATAAAGAGAGTCCTGTGGATTCCTGATAACGCAGTGACACAGACAGAAAATGCCAGAACTGGCCTAGGGGACCAGCAAAGTCAACCACCACCACCTCACATCCCAATTGATAGTTAAGGATGCTGAAGTCATGAGAAGAAAAGCATACGCACAAGGTCATAGATGGAGAGACTGCGAGAGTTGAGACAAGAACCCAGGGCTCCGATCAGCGTGGTCCTCTTTCCATTAGACCACTTTGCCAGGCTGCTGCTTTGATATAAAAGTCGTGTTTCAGGCAGCTGGCAGCAGAATGCGGAGGAAAGGAGAAATCCGAGTCCAGGAGACTGTAAAAATGATGACGGGGTGAGTTGATGGGAGGGACTAAACTCAAATGAAAGAAATGGAAAGAACAGGCTGGGAGTGAGAATCACCAAGTGGGAAGAAACAGAAGAACTTAGCAAGAAATCAGATATGGCAGTGAGGGAGAGCTGTGCAGGGGTCATCTGCAGGCCATTCTCAGGCCTGGGGAAGTTTCTCCTGAAGTCATGGGGTGCTTTACCCCGACCCCTGCCTCAGAGGCAGCAGACAAGGATGAACACAACTAGCCCCTACTACCAGTTCCCTGTCCCCATGTCCTCTTCCCTTTGGCCACCTCTACACAGACCTTCTCTGATTCTCCCATTCAGCACTTTAGGACCTTCCGTTTACATCTGTGCACAGACGTGTCTGCGAATGACCAGGTATGATATTAAAGCCCAAACCAGAACCTAAGAGTGTAGACTTCTCCTGGATGAACAGTCTGCAAAGCTAGCACTATGTTGTGGATGATGTCTGATGTGAAGAGCAGGGAAATGAGAGCAAAGAGGATGGAAAAACTCTCTCTTCCTCTAGCTCCGCCCTCGCACGATGGTAGCAGCTGAGTGGCAGTCAGCAGGCTTCGCTGGGGGGGTAACTGTGAAACAGGAGAAGCTGGAGTAAGGGCTCAGACCATCTGGGGCCACTGAGGACAACAGCAAATTATACTTCACCTCTTAGGCATGTAAAGAGGACCAAATAAAACAATAATAGTAAAAGTAGTTAATGTTTAATAACTCCTTAGTATAGACACTGTGCTAAGTGCTTTCCATGCATTATTTCATTTATTATAACTTAAAAAGGTTAATACTATTAGAATTTCCATTTTACAAATGAGAACATTGAAACTCATATAAGCTGATAAATTAGCATAAAGTCACAGGGATAACAGTGTTGAGTTGTCTGATTTCAAAGACCATGTGCTGTCCTCCCCTATCAGCAGGCCCCTGACCCACAGTCCTCAGTGAAGCTCAACTCTGTCCAGCCGACTTCTCAGCAGTGCTGAGGACATCACACATCTCAATACAAGTTCGTATAGAAACTGCTGGAGAATGTGACATTCTTGATTCGACCTATCATGAAATTATATTCCATGTACCTGACAGTTTAAAGTGACAGGAAAGGTACAAAACCAGGTAGGTGTATTAGGCAATATGGCCTGGTGATTAAGAGCTTGGATTTTGATGCCTAAATCCCACCTTTGCCACATTCTTGCTGTGAGAGCTTGATCAAATCATTTCTTTATGGCTCTGCTTCTCATACCCAAAATGAGGCCAATACCACCTGACCTCGTGGGGTTACTATAAAAAGCAAATGAGATGATGCGTGAAAAGCACTGAGCACATGCAAGCAGGGCCTAATCAATGTCGGCTATGACAGTGATTACCATTATCATCACTGTCGCTGTCATTTTGCCATGCAGCTATGGCCAGGGACACTTGGCCTTTGTATCTGGCTGTGATGGGACAGAAAGTAAGCTCCCTAGTAAGGGCTGGGTCCTGAGTACAGAGTATGGCATCTCCTGTCCCTCTGTCACTTTGCAGGCCCAGAGGTAAGTGGTGCCCCAGAAGAAAAAGGGGGCAGATGAATGTCCCCGCAAGGCCAACACATGAAGTTGGAGTCCATCAATCAACATTTTAAGAGCCCAGTAGACGTCTTGAGGAAGGGCAAGGGGGCCGCTGTGTCAGGACACATACCAGAAAGGAGCTTGGAGACTGTGTTGGGGACACAGCAAGAAACAACCAGCCTCAGCCTGATGCTTCCAGGAAGCGGGAGGGTAGAGGAATCTCATTCCATCCTGTATTTACTCACCTCCCTCCCTTCCTGACACACCATTCCCTCCACAGAAACTTCACAGTATACCACTAGGAGGCCTCCATGAGCACAGTTCTGTAATAGGATGGGAACAGGAAGATGCAAAGGAAACACAAGACATCTTTGCTCTCAAATGGATTAACTGAATGCAGTTTATCAACACATAACAATGAATATGTAGAAGTATCTTGTTTACCTAAAGGCCATTTACCTGGTGTCCTTTGATTCCCTGGAAGCTAACCAAAAAACCAAGACAAAGGACCAAAAACCTTGTCATACCCCCTATGAGCAGTCAAAGGAAGGGTTACAAATTCTAAGCACTAAAAGCAGTGCATTTTAGTTGCAGGAGAATCCCTAAAACCCTCTCAGTAACTTCCTGGTTGTACTTTAGACAGCTGTAAATGATGTAGCTGGTCAGAGGTAATAAAGTGAAAAGGGAGAGCTGCTAGGGGCTGGCACATCAAAGGCAATGAAGAGTAATGGCTGGCCGTCTGACCACAGGGAGACTACACAAACTATGAAATGCAATCAAAGGACTAAGAGGACAGCTGCGGGGGGCACGTAGTGTAGGTGCAAAGAGCTATCCATACTTCATAGGCCGGAGTGCCACTGCTCCGACATTAGGCCTGGTCACACATACTTTGGCTCTCTTGGGATGCTATGGGATGGTAGGTGTGGCCAGATGACTTGCTTTGGTCAGTGAAATGTGGACGGAAACGAGTGTCACTTCTAGGCAGGAAGCTTTACCATGCTCTCTTCCAACACTGCCAGACTGTGGCAGTTCTGCCAGCCTGAGTCCCCAAGGAGGATAAAAATGATACAGAGAAGAGCCTCCAGCTGACAAGTAGCATGGGCAAGAAATAAACTTTTGTTGCTTTTCAGGGCTGCTTGTTTCTACCATATAATCTAGTCTATCCTGCCTGAAACATCCTAAAAGTTAAATAAGGTCAGTTCACATTAAGAAGTGTATGTAATGCACCCCTAGCAGTGTTATTTACAATAGCTAAGATCTGGAAACAGCCCAAGTGCCCATCAGTAGATGAGTGGGTAAAAAAGCTGTGGTACATATACACAATGGAATAATATGCAGCTGTAAGAAAGAAGAATCTCTTACCCTTTGAGATGATGTGGAGGGATCTAGAGAGTATTATGGTATGCTAAGTAAAATATGCCAGTCAGAGAAAGACAAGTATCACATGATCTCACTTATATGTGGAATAGAATGAACAAAATAAGCTGGTGAACAAAACTGATCTAGAGACATGGAAGTAGGGAACAGACTGACAAACCTCAGAGGAAAGGGGGGTGGAGGTTGGGGGAGGAGATAAACCAAAGAACTTATATGCATATATGCATAACCAATGGACACAGACAACTGTGTAGTGAAGGTGGGGGTGGTGATGGGTGGGATGGGAGTGAGGAGGAGGATAACAATGGGGGGGAAGACATCTGTAATAAAAAAATAAATTAATAAAAAGGAAAAAAAGAAGTCTGTGCGTTATCTTTTTGGTGAATTACCATTCAAAAGAGTCAATGTTATGTTTTGTGGCTTAAAGGATAATAATTTTCAGTTATAGGGAAAATTGACCTATTCCAATGTTGCTGGATAAATGAGAATATGAACTGAATGGAGGAGAAACAGATCCAGTTTCCAAACACTTCTTTCTCTAGGGAGGCTCCCTGTTTTCATAACATACACATGCATCATGTATGGCTCTAAGGTAGACAGAAGTTGGGTCTCATGTGCTGAAGCTGCCAGAACCCTGGTATCTGCAGAACCAGTCCAGGCACACCAGGGTGGCATCTACTGCTTCCATGAGTGCCGAGGGGCTCTGGACCCCAACGGGGGTCGAGAGGCCCTATTACATATCTGTCTGCACCCTCATGGAAGGAAATCCATCATGTTGAGTAAGCCAACAACTTCAGGATATCGTCTTTTTAAGTATATAAGAAACATTTACAAAATTGACCTCATACTGGGCCAACAAGCAAGTTTCAGGATGAAAATCATATGGGTCATTTTCTCTGACCTAAAGCAATTAAGCTAGAGGATGACTGGAAAAATCTTGTTTATTTATTTATTTATTTACTTCTCACCCGAGGATATTTTTCCATTTATCTTCAGATAAAGTGGGAGGGAAAGAGAGGGGGAGGATTGGGAGAGAGAGAGACAGAGAGACAAAGAAACATCGATATGAGAGAGACACACTGATTGGCTGCCTCCCATATGACCCCGACCAGGGCTGGGGATAAACTGCAACCAAAGTACGTGCCCTTAACCGGAATCGAACCCAAGACTCTTTGGTCAGCGGGCTAACGCGCTAAACGCTGAGCCAAACCGGCAAGGGTAAATCTTGTATATTTAGAAAGTAGGAATCATACTTTTAAATAATCCATATACGTATACATCCTCTCACTTAATCCTCCTAACTATAATACAGACCCCCATCTTAGAAATGTAGGAACAGAGCCCTGGTTGGTTTGGCTCAGCGGTTAGAGCGTCGACCTGCGGTCCAGAGAGACCCGGGGTTCAGTTCCCGCTAAGGGCATGTACCTCGGTTGCAGTTTGTCCCCGGCTCTGGTTGGTCATGTGGGTGGCAGCCACTCGATGTGTCCCTTTCGCGTCAATGTTTCTCTCTCTCTCTTCCTCTGCCTCCCTCCCACTCTATCTGAACAAAAAAAAAAAAAAGGAAAAATGTCCTCGGGTGAGGATAAAAAAAAAAAAGAAATGCAGGAACAGAGATAGGAAAGAGAACACAATTTTCTCAAATTTACCCAGTTAGTGATGGTGAAAACAGGACTCAAAACCAGCCAATAACTTTAGAGTCCAGGGCTTTAATGATATTCTCTTTACCCTACGTCTCATTGGAATTCATAGCCCCTCCCAAGGCTCACAGCCTCCACGGATCTGATGCTTCACCTCTTAAAACAACTGTTGAGAGGCGGGAGACCTAGGCCCGGCTTGTGGTGGTGGCACTGACCTGGGACCTATCGTGCAGAGACGCATTTCCCTTTTGCTCTGGCCTCCTCTGGGTCACCTGCTCGAACTGAGGTGAGAGGTCTAGAGCAGTGGAGAGGAGAGTTCCGGGCTGATCTTCCCAGACAGCTTTGAACTAGATTCCCCAGGAAGACTTTCTTTCCTTTTAAAGTTTTTTTCCACGTGGGCACAAGTGGTAAGCGAACAAAGAAAGACAGAAGGAAAAGTTACTTCCAGATGGCTCCCATCTTGCTCTAATGCAGATTAAGTAAAGACTAGTCCAACATCTCATTAAGCAAACATGAGTATTAATATCATTCATAGTATAAATGGAACAGAATAAAACTTCAACCTATATCGTGACTTAAATTTGGGGCTAGGGCCTCAGAGCCAGAAAACAGACAACTTACAGCACCCCGATTCTGAGCAAGTCGGAGGCTTGTGGTACCTAAGGTAAGAGACAGGGCCAAAGTGTGCCTAACCTTTCCAGGGGTGGCCTCCTGAACTCTAGCTGACCAAACTACCTCCCTCTGGGGCAAGAGCCTGGTCAAATGGCTACTTAACACTGTTATTCTGTCTTCTCCCAATTCAACCTCCTTGTGTCAAGATACATTTTTAGCAAAACTCCAAGACACCCAGAGCTTCTGAGGCTCAGCTGCTATCCCGGTGCTCTGAGGACAATGCTGTCTGCCCTCCTCCACGGGCTCACAAGGACAGCTTAAGTCCTGACTAAGCGCCCAGTACTATGCTTCACGCATGGAGAAGGCTTGAAAATAAACAGAAAGTCTGATGATGGTGCATATCCTAGAAAGATACCTAAAACGCTAAGAACTCACCAAGCGGCCCTGGAGAGGGAGAAGGCTGAGAGGTAAGAAGAGAGAGGGCCAGGTTGGCCTAAAGGTCCTGAAGATAGGTATTTTCACTCCATCCTTCGGCTTCATTTCTTCCGCTGCAGAAGCTATACTGGCCCAAGGTGAGGGAGTAGGCTTGCTGGGTTAACAGTGCTCATGGTGTTCAGCTCAGGGCTTGGGTGCTCCCCAGCTCCACCCCCACTGCTCATCCCCTACACCATCGGGGCTCAGGCCCCAGAAAGTCAGCGTGCCAATCAGTAAGTGACCCACATCCTACCATGAATTTAAGATCAACAAGTCCAAGATCAAAGTACCCAGTTATCCAATCAGCAGTGTGATCATATCTTTTTGATCTGCGAAGAAGGGCCCTGTCGACCACTTCCTGATAGGAGTTATGGAACGCGAGAATTCAGCTCAGCTTCTCTCCTATTTGTGACCTTTCAGAAATGGCCAGTTGTGTCTAAAGGCTAGACAGATGGTGTGGGGCCCCTGGGGTGAGCGATGGTCCAATGCCTTCAACGAGGTTGTTCCATTGGTTATAGTTCTCTTTCAGGTCTGAAAAAACAAACAAAGCAGGAAGGTTAGGTAAATCACTGGAAGGTTAGATCAAAGAGTTTCTAGCACAGACTTTACTAGGACAGCCTAGAGGACGAGTACCTGGGGCACTAAAAGGACTGGTTATAATGGTGGTAGCAGTAATGGTAACTATTATTCACGCAGTGCCTTTATAAGGTGCCTCATAAATGACTTGCTTAATCTACAATAACTCTATAATAACAACAAAAAGTAACATTTATTGAAGAACTCATTGTAGGGACTGTGCTAAACTGTAATTTTCACAATATCCCTATGAGCTAAGTACTGTTATTAGCCCTACTTTATAGTTGAGGAAACGGAGGCGCAAAGAAGCTGTCTGCCTTGTCCAACATCATTATAGCTGGGAAAGGACAGAAACAGAATTCACACCTTGGTCAGAAAAGCTAAGAAAATGGAAAGCCTACTCTCAGGCTCGGAGATGGTGCTGAGCAAGAAAAGGCCCTTTGCACGCCAGCCAGTGGATGCAAAGCCAGGGCCACCTCAGTGAGGGGCAGAAGGAATAGTGTGGCTCTATGAAGTAGTGTGGCACTGGGTATGATTCCAGAGGGGGCACTGGGGTCATGGGCAGATAGGTCTAACTACACTGTAACAACCGTCAGAGATGGTCCAGAGATGGAGTAGGGCATAGCTGAGCCAGCAAATAATGTCCTTGTTCAAAACAAACAAAACCTGAGACAGAAGGCAGGGACCACTCTCCTTCCACTTGGGATCCCAGTGCCCTGCAAAGAACCTGGCATGGAATAGATCAACAAATAAGTGCTACATATTCATTCATTCAAAAAATACTGAGCACACCCACAATGTGCCATAGTCTGTTCTTGGTTCCAAAAGTCCATCCACAAACAAACAGAAATCCTCATCCTCAAAGCTCACAAGCTAGTAGGCAGAGGCAACAGTAAGCATAATAAATGATATAGGATGTAAAGGTGAGAAGTGCTATGGGAAAAAGAGCGCCAGACAAGAGAAGCGGAGGTGGTGCCAGGGCACGGGGGTGAGGGCAGGTAGAGAAGGTACGATGTTTTAAAAGGCTGGTCACGGTTGGCCTCACTGGAAAGGTGAGATTTGAGCAAAGACTGGAAGGAGGTGGGAGCGAGCTACGAGATCGTACAGGAAAAATGTTCTGGCAGCGGGAGGAGCACCACGAAGGCCTGAAGCCAAAGCATCCCTGGAACATTGGAGGCTGGTGCAGCCAGAGTGAACGAGGCTCGGGGAAGAGCAGCGGGAGAGGTCAAGGGCACTGAGGGGAGGACCCATCGTGTGGCCTGGCAGGACAATGGGCATTGGCTTTGACTCTCGGAGAAATGGGGAGTCACTGGAAGATCCTGAGCAGAGGAAAGATCTGACTTACTCTAACAGGATCACTCTGGCTGGCAGAAGACTGTAGGGAGGCACAGGTGGCAGTAGGGAGACCAGTTAGGAAGCTAATACAGTCATTTTAATTTAAGTGAGAGATGACTTCACAGGATGGTAGCTGTGGCGTGACGACAAGTGATTAGAGTCTACAGAGATAGGGTTTTCTGAGGATTGGATGGGAGGTGTAAGAGACATGAACGAGGACTTTGGCTGGAGTAACCTGAAGGATGGAGTGACTGTTGGTTGAGAAGGGAAAGACTGCAATTGAAACTGGTTTTGTTTGTGATGTTTATTAGATGTTGAACAGTGGGTTATATAAATCTGATGTTCAAGAGCGAGCTCAAACCGGAGATACAAACTTGTCAGCTTGGAGGTGGCATTTAAAGCCACAAGACTAGATGACAGCAGGGCATGCAGACAGAGAAGAGGTCCGGGCACTGAGGCCCGGAAGCGGCGAAGCAGGCGGGAGGAGCAGATCCTGAGAGCAGAAAACCAGTGCGGTGTCTCTGACAATGGCATCGTCAGCTGTCAGAAGCTGCTGGGGGTTCTGCTGGGATGAGGAATGAGAACTGACCACTGGACTTAGCACCGTGAAAGGCACCAGCAACCCTGACGGAAACAGTTTTCATGAAGAACTAGGATGCAAACGATTGACTGGAGCAGGTTTGAGAGAACGGGACAAGTAGAATCAGATCGTGAAGACATTCTTTGAGGAGCTTTGCTGTTAGCAGGAACAGGGAAACAGGGTGGAAACTGATGGGGTCAAGAGAGAGATTTTTAAGAGAAATTTCAGCCTGAAATGAACCAGTAGAGAGGGGAAATTGACGATCTAAGGTGAGAGAAAAGAACTGCTGGCACGGCCACCTCGAGCAGGCCAAAAAGGATGAAGCCTCGCGTGCAGGTGGAGGGACTGGCCTTGCGTGGGGAGCTGAGTAGGAAACATCAGCAACCAGACAGAACGCTGAGCATGTGCACAAGGCGGGTGGATGGAGTGTTGGGATTCTGAGGAAGTGTACTGCTTCCCTTTTCCTGGGGAAGTGGGAAGCAAAGTTAATCAGCTGAGACACAGGAAGGGTGAGGGGGTGTTGGCGGGCTGGAGAGAAAGGAGAAGGTGTGAAACAGTCTTCCAGGAGCGTGGAGGAGAGGGTGACGAGGTGGAGGCAGGAGCCGCACGGGGTTCATGGGAAGCACCGATCTTCTCAGTGGAAGAAGACATCCCTGTGTCGGTGGAACGTGTGCTCCCAGGGGTATTCTTTAGAGGTGGCGAGAGGTTCAGCTCAGCCACCTCTTTTCGTTTCCCATGTGACAAGGTACTGTGTGGCCACCAAAAAGCTTTTCTCTCTTTGCAAAGCTAATTACCCCAAGCAGAGCGCCTCTGCGCCTCTGTTCAGACTCTGTCTTCTCTCTCGGCGCCTACATACTCCAGGAGCCTCCTACCTGGGCTCTCTGCCTCTCACCCACCCCATCTTGTCCATCCTCCGTGACGCGGCCAGACTGCAAATACAAGTCCAAGCATGACACCCCCCTGCTTAGAACCCAAGGACCCTCACAGCCTGTGAGGAAAAATCCAAACTTACTTCAGCAAATACATGGGCTTCTAGATCTGGCTTCTTCCCATTTCTCTACCTTCATCTTCCAACACTTCACTATCCTGAGCTCCAGATACACTACACACAGCCTCTCAAAGCTGACAGGCCCTCCAAGGCTTGGTGCCTCCTGTCCAGAAGACCCTCGCCCTTTCCCGGCCTGGTGAACCCTAATCGTCTGTTAAGATTAAAGACAAGCATCGCTTCGTCTGGGGAGCTTCCTTTCCCAGCTGTCCTTTCCGTCCTGTCAGGTGCCTGTCCTGTGTGTCCCGAAGACTGACTGCATCTGTTGGTCATCAGAGTCACTGGCAGAAAAGCAGAGCAACCAAGCACATGGGCTTTGGACTCAGACAGCCTGGGTTGCACTCTGGCTTTGCTCCTTAGTAACCAGATAACTGTGGACAAATTACTTAAATGTTCCAAGCTGCAGTGTTCTCACCTGTAAAATGGAGTTAATAATAAACTACCTTCTGGAAAAAGCTGTCTTCAGGATTACACATGAGAATGCATCTAACATAATGCAAGTATAAAGGAGGTCCTCAACAACCTTCCTCCAGTGTAAGACTCTCCCCGCCTTCCATCTCCTCTTCTGCTGGTCTCCAGCAATGCAGGTCTTAGCTCAGCAGACACTGTTACTAAAGCAAGTCCAAACATGCCATGTGGGGCCCCTGCCATCTTTAGCTCTCACCTAATGAAATGGTGCCGAAGAGAAAACAGGGAAAGTGGGCTGAGGACCGTGCAGTCAGGCCCCTTAAAAGTCATGAGACATGGATCCATTCCTCTCCTACCAGGTGATAAGAATGATGCTCTAAGGTCTCTATTAACCCTAAAGTCTCTAAACCCAGGCTGCTATAATGGCTGATGATAAGCAAGATGAAATGAACGGGCATAAATATAAAAATGCAAATTTAGGTTCAAAATGTCAATGCTTTCATAATAGGACAGATATGTTTGTTTTTTAAAATATGTTTTTATTGATTTCAGAGAGGAAGGGAGAGGGAGAGAGACAGAAACACTGATCATCTGCCTCCTGCATGCCCCGCACTGGGGGATTGAGCAAGAAACCCAGGCGTGTGCTGCCCTGACCAGGAATCGAACTGTGACCTCCTAGTTCATGAGATGACAGTCAACCAACTAAGCCACACCGGCCGGACTAGGACACATATGTTTTAAAAGCAAACTCAGCCCCAGCTGGTTTAGCTTAGAGGTTAGAGCGTCAGCTCGAGAACAAAGAGTTGTGGGTTCAATTATAGTCAAGAGCACGTACCTCAGCTGTGGTTCGATCCCCAGCCCTGGTCAGGGTTGCGTGGGAGACAACCAATCGATGTGTCTCTCTCACATCAATGTTTCTCTTTCCCTCCCTCCCTCCCTCATTCCCACTCTTATCTGAAAATCAATGGAAAAATATCCTCAGATGAGGATTAAAAAAATAAGAAGAATAAATAAATAAAAGCAAACTCAATCCAAAGCAAATTTGTTAGGCACTTGTTGGAAAGGTTAACACACGCAGGCCATCCACCTGGGCGTCTAGTGTCCGCACAGAGGCGGCAATCCTGCCAGACCAGGCACTGTCAGAACATGCCTAGCACATGCCGGTCAAGTCAGGGCACCACACTGTGCTTCCAAAGGCGATAATAAATGGCAACCTGCAAAACTGCAGGGGAACAAGTGGAGGGACCATGGATATTTAGCTTAATGAACAGGAAACAGAGTGGACACCAAGCACCAAGAGCTGCCCTGTGTAAAAGGTCTGAGGCGTCTCAGGATAGCTCTTGAGGGAATAACCCGGGCAAGTAGGGGGAAGCTACAAAGTATCAGATCTTGGTCTTAGGTTGGAGCGAGTTCAGACCTTAGAGATCCAGGCAGCCTGGCTCCCTCCGGAAGGAAACTGCCCTATGCACAGTGCCCGCTGAGGGACCAGCCTCGTGCAGATAAGGGCAGCCACCCTGACTGAATCAGAAAGGGACATCTGATCAGGAGCGCTCCGCGCCTAGGTTGGGCAGTGGCCTGCAATGTGTTTTGGCAGTAAAAATGAGCTGAGATGATCAAGTTGCCTGTCTTGGGAATCTGGTCTAAGAAATCCAAGAAAACATGGCAGTGAGCAGAGAGCAAGCCTTGAGTGGTTCATGCCAACCAAAGTTAAAAGAAAGGTATGAGGAAGCAGAAACTATGAATAAGTAGATTCTTTTTTTTTTTTTTATCCTCACCCGAAGATATTTTTCCATTTTTTGTACAGATAGAGTGGGAGGGAGAGAGAGGAAGGGAGAGAGAGAGAGAGAGAGAGAGAGAGAGAGAGAGAAACATCGATGTGAAGGGACACATCGAGTGGCTGCCACCCGCACGACCAACCAGGGCCGGGGACAAACTGCAACCGAAGTACGTGCCCTTAGCGGGAACCGAACCTGGGTCTCTCTGTACCGCAGGCCGACGCTCTAACCGCTGAGCCAAACTGGCCAGGGCTGAATAAGTAGATTCTATCAGCAAGAGAAAAAATACGGAATAGAAAGAAGAAAAATGCCGACTGGAACAAACAGAAACAGAGATGCCATCAGAGGAAGAGACAGAGCGATTGAGCCCATGAGAGAGAGAAGTCAGTCTTGTAAGCTACCTTGGTTCCCATAACATTTTTTATTTAATTTTTAGAGAGAGAAAGGGAGAGGGAGAGACAGATAGAAAATTTGGTGGGAGAGAAACATTGATCCGCTGCCTCCTGCATGCCCCTGACTGGGGATCGAGCCCACAACCCAGGCCAGGAATCAAATCGGCAACCCCTTGGTTCATGGGTCGATGCTCAACCACTGAGCCACACCAGCCGGGCGGTTCCCATAATTTTTCATGTTCATCTTGGCAAGGTGTACTTTCATAAACAAACTCTCTGTTTTTAAGGTAAATTAGTGAATCTCTCTAGTCCTTGTTAGAATATCATCTCTCAAAACCACTGACGTTTCCAGGGGTGGTGAGGGCTGACCCTCATGGCAGGGCACTCTCCACGCTGCTTGACCATTGGCAGGGAGGACAGGGAGCGTTATCTCCTGTGGGTAGGAGGCTGGACCAAAGACTTCTATGGGCCTTGCCAGTCAGCTGGTGTGATTTATGACATTAGTCATAATCTTCCCATGCTTTGTTTTTTTTAAAGCACTTCTACAAGTATAATCCATTTCTCATTATAACCTCCTCTGCCATACAGATGAGGTAAGTGATAATGAGTTAGGACAGAGATAGTGGAGTACAGAAAGGTGAATATTCCATTTACAGTGAGGAAACCAGGCTCAGAGAAGCTAAATGACTAGGTCAGGGTCATTCAGGTAGTAAGAGTCAGGATCTCCAAACTTTCAGCTAAGTGTTCTATCTATAATTCCACGTAACTCTCCCTCAGCCAGGGTTTCCTGTTGCCATAAATCTCCCTGATCTGAGACATATCAGTACAGACCACTGTGCATGGAAATCTACGGGACCCCATGGCTGCCCCACTAGCCCCAGGTCTGTCCTTACCAAGGTGCTTCTGCAGGAAGGCCAACATGGCCCGCACCACAACCTCCTGACCTTCATAGGGGTCCAAGCTCCCACGGGTTTGAGTGGAGAAGAATTTACCAATCCAGTTCCCAGACACAAAGGCAAAGTCAGTTTGACTCCGATGAACAGAACCACTAGAGGGAAAGAAAAACAAATAACTGGTAAGGGTCTGGAGGCTAGGGCACACAAATATATGTTAAGCACCTACTATGTGCAAGGTACTTAATGTGCATTATTTCATTTTCACAATAAGGGAAGTATCTTCCCCTTTGACAGAATCAGCAGAGAATGATCTGCCCAAGGTCACACAGCTAGTAAGGGTCAGAGTTAGGATTTGAACACAGGTGTGCTTGGCTTCAGAGCTGCTCAGCTCCTAGACCACAGTGCCCGACAGTGCAGGGAACGGCTGTTCGCTGGAGCGGGGACAGGGCCGAGCAGGCAGCGTGTGCGGCACCTGCCATTCCTGCGTTGTTACAAACTAGAGCACCATGGCTTTCACCTGTGACTTCGAACAGTCGCAAGACTTATCCGCTCCTGTCTTCAGAACTGTACCCCAAAGTAAGCAGGAAAAAGGGATCTAAGAGAGGGCAAGGGCTTGTAAAAGTACTTTTTAAGTCCTTTGATAAAAAAGACATTTAATACAAAAGTAAAATTCTCACTAGGTTCATTTTGGGCTAAATTACTTACAACTAAAATAATCAAATCAACGAGGAAGGAAAATCTAAATGCTAAACGTTGATACCATGCACACACAAAAACTGACTTTAAAAAATTATATTTTTTGCCCGGCCGGTGTGGCTCAGTGGTTGAAGCATTGACCCATGCACCAAGAGGTCCCCGGTTCAATTCCCAGTCAGGACATATGCCCAGGCTGTGGGCCCAATGTGGGGGGCCTGCAGGAGGTGGCCAATTGATGTTCTCTCGATCGATGTTTCTATCTCTCGCTCTCTTTCCCTTCCTCTCTCTCTAAAAATCAATAAAAATGAAAATAAAAATGTATTTTTTAAGGCACATGAAAAAGCATAAAGAATAATATAATGAATACATGAGTATCCAGCACCCAGTTTAAGAAAGAATACATTACCAGTAGTTAAATCTCCCTTGTGCACCCAGTCCCAACTGCTTTCACCTCCTTTTCCTCCAGGGGTCACAATTATCCTGACTCTGACTGGCCTGGGGAAACTTCCAAGTAGTCTTCTGTTGCCAGGAAGTCAAAATGAAGGGGGAGGAGCTGGCCCCATGAAAGAGAGCCAGGGCCAAGATGAGCAAGGGAAGAAGCCGCTGATCCTGAGCGGTTCCTAGCCTTCCAGGGCTGAGGACTTGGCATTTCGACTACCTGGGTGATTCCCAAGGCCTGTGGCGTACAGTTACTTGTTTTGCTGAAAGGGGGCCTGAAACCCTCGAAATGTGTGTTGTTAGGCTTGAGTGCAGGACAGGAGCGAGGCAGAGACCTATCAGTGAGCCTTCAGCCCTGCACCTGCAGCTCTAGGCCACTTCCTACACATGGTACATTTCTTACAATTACTCGAAACTTTTCTGTGAAAAATTGCTTCTGAAAGAAAACTACCTGACAATGCTAGTGATAGAAGTGGAGAGAATGTGGTTTCTCTTAGCCAGAATATAGACGGTTTCTGGAAGGTATCTTAATTTAGATCGTCATAAAGGTCTCTGAAGGTCTATTTTCTAAATGTCAAAGGTCTACCAGCTGCACATTCTTCCAAAGACCAGATTAAATTCTCAAATGAGGTTAGAGATCTCTGGAGTCCACCCAGACCCACACTTCTTCCTCCCCAACACACAATCTCATGATACCCTTTTTTTTCCAGAATGGAACAAAGAAATCATGTCAGAGTCATATAAACTAGTGAAGAAATCACTGTAGGTGGAACTAAGTGGAGAAGAACAGATACGAAATCTAAAAAATTTAAGATTTTGAAATTCAGGAAGCATTCAGGTATCCCATTAATAGGCAGAGTTTCTGGATAATCCCAAAGTAATTAAAAGAGCCAGAGCTCCCAGGGAGAGGACACTGGGGATCGTGACCCTGGGGTTTACTCACAGGACAGTTATGATCCTGGATTGTTCATGCTGTGCACACACCTTCTTCATCAAGGTAACACTCTCCATTGTCTGGAATTTCTCAGTATTAATGAAGAATACAGGGCCTCGGGCCTTCGGATAAAAGTCACGTTCCAGTGGAAACATCCAAGCATCCAGAGCCACAGCACACCTGGAACAGGACCAGATATTTGGAACTGCTGTGCAGAAGCAGTTAGGGCAGCCTGGCCGGTGTGGCTCAGTGGTTGAATGTCGCTGGTTCGATTCCCAGTCAGGGCACATGCCCAGGTTGTGGGCCAAATCCCTAGTGGGGGGGCATGCAGGAGGCAGCCAATCGATGCTCTCTCTCATCAATGTTTCTATCTCTCTCCCTCTCCCTTCCTCTCTCTCTAAAATCAATAAAGGACACAAAAACAAACAAACAAACGAACGAACAAACAAATAAATAAATAAATAAGCAGCAGTTAGGGCAGTGGGGGAAGGGGTAGAGATCTCCCTTCAGTGCGGTGAAGGTTCAGACAGTCAAGGAGATACCAGGGTCCACACCTTTCAGTTAGGATCTTGGATACAGACCACATTCACCTGTCGCCAAAGATCCTTCTAGATTTTAAGCTTGCTGAGGCAAGGATCAGACCTGCTTCCTCTGGATCTACTCTCAGGCAGCTGACTTCAGTTACTCAGAACAACACTTCATTCATTTAATTCTTTATTCAACATTCATTGAGTACCAACTGTGCTTAGGCCTGTGCTCTGGATACAGGGATAAATGACACAGTTCTTGCTCTCAAAGAGCTCCCATTCAAGAAAGGGAGGCAAAACAAAGGTAACAAAATACAGCTTAGCAGCATGATTGCACAAACTGCTATGTGAGCCCAGAGTGGGCGTGGCAGGGGAAGCCAGGGAAAGCCTCCTTGGTGTCAGAACTCGAAGATCTAGCCAGTTTGTCAAGCAGTAACCAAGGAAGGGCAAAACTAAGGCCCTAAGATAAGCCCCCGCCTGAAATGCTCCTCCAGTCTTCTCTATCTCAGTCAAGGATGATCGTCTTCACTCAAGTGATGAATCCACCAATGAAAAACCTTGATTCCTCTCTTTTCTTCACTTTATACATCATGCAGCCCTGAAAATTCTAAAACATATCTTGACTCCATTCACGTCTCTCCATCCCTCCACCTCCACGCTAATGCAAATCCATCATCTCACCTTGACTCTGAAATAGCCTCCTTCTAACTAGTCCCCTTGCTTTCAGTCTTGTCCTGCTACAATCCACTCTTCTCATAGTAGCCAGAGCAATCTTTTTTTCTTTTTTTTAATATTTTTTATATATTGATTTTAGAGAGAGAGGAAGGGAGAGAGAGAGAGAGATAGAAACATCGATGAGAGAGAACATCGACTGACCGCCTCCTGCATGCACCCCATTGGGGATTGGGCCCACAACCTGGGCGTGTACCCCAACTGGGAATCAAACTGGTGACCTCTTGGTGCATGGGTCAATGCTCAACCAATGGCCACACCAGCCGAGCCAGAAGGATCTTTTTTTAATGTAAATAAGATTTGTTTTCTCTGCTTAAAATCCTTCAGTGGTTTCCTATCAAATTTAGAAGAAAACTGAACTTCCTTACTCTGACTAAAGGCCTTGTGATCTGGCTTGTCTATCTTTCTGATCATATCTTTAATTTCTTCCCCTTTACTCACCATGCTCCTCCCACACTGACACAGCAACCTTCCTTCTACCTCTGGGCCTTTGCATTAGCTGTTCCCTCTGCCTAGAATGATCTTTCATTAGACATTGACATGGCTGGCTTCTCTGCCTATCGAATCTCAGCTTCTCACTTTCTCAAAAAAGCCTCCAGATACTCTAGCATATCAGCCTATTTTATTTTTAATCCTCGCCCAAGGATATTTTTTCCACTGAGTTTTTAGAGAGTAGAGGGGGGAAAGAGAGAAACATAGATGCACATATTGACTGGTTGCCTCCCACATGCCTAGGGGCCAGAGATGGAACCTACAGCCCAGGTACATGCCCTTGACTTGAATTAAACCTGTGACCCTTGGTTTCACGGGCCAACATTCCAACCACTGAGCCACACTGGCCAGGGCTACCTATTTTATTTTCTTCATTGCCCTTGGGTGGTGGGGATTTGGTTATCTGTTAGCTTGTTTACTAGTCTATTTCCTCTCACAAATTCCATGAAATCAGAAACCTTGTTTTCTTTTTTTTTTTTTATCCTCACCCGAGGATATTTTTCCATTTTTTTGTACAGATAGAGTGGGAGGGAGAGAGAGGAAGGGAGAGAGAGACAGAAACATCGACGTGAAGGGACACATCGAGTGGCTACCACCCGCACGATCAACCAGGGCCAGGGACAAACTGCAACCGAGGTACGTGCCCTTAGCGGGAACCGAACCCGGGTCTCTCCGGACAGCAGGCCGACGCTCTAACCGCTGAGCCAAACCGGCCAGGGCAAGAAACCTTGTTTTCTTGTTCACCACTAAATCCCCAGCCCCCAAAACAGTGCCCAGCACATAATACTTGTGTAACAAATACTTGGTGAATGAATGAATGAATGAATGGTGTGTGGAGCTTACAGCAGCATCACTGGGAAACTCACCGAAACTGGGTCTCCTTGGCCAAAGCCAGAATAGCTGTGGCCCCTCCAAATGAATGTCCCATTACAGCCACACAGCTCATGTCGAGGCTGCCCTGAGGAAAGCAGAGAATTTAGCCAAGTCTGAAACTAAGAAGTGCTTTTGTAGGAATTCTTCAGGGGCAAGAGGAAGAAACAGTGAGACAATGATGCAGAAGCACAATTCAGTGGGTGAGCACCATCCCTACCACTGCCACATTAAAGAAACTGCTAAATGCCCTGGCCGGTTTGGCTTAGCGGTTAGAGCGTTGGCCTGCGGACCAGAGAGTCTTGGGTTTAATTCCCGCTAAGGGCACGTGCCTCGGTTGCAGTTTATCCCCGGCCCGGCTGGGGTCATGTGGGTGGCAACCACTCGACGTGTCTCTCTCACATCAATGTTTCTCTCTCTTTTTCTCCCTCTCTCCCTCCCGCTCTATCTGAATATAAATGCAAAAATATCCTCGGGTGAGGATTAAAAAAAAAGAAAGAAAGTAACTGCCAGCTGGCCCAACAGGTGTGGCTCAGTGGTTGAGGGTCAACCCATACACCAAGAGGTTTGATTCCCGGTCCGGGCACATGCCCAGGTTGTGGGCCAGATCACCGTTTGGGGGGCATGTAGGAGGTGGCCAATCAATGTTCTCTCTCATTGATATTTCTGTCTTTCTCTCCCTCTCCTTTTCTCTCTCTAAAATCAATAAAGAAAAAAAACCCTGCCAACTGGAGAGCAGCCTGTCAGGCAATTCCTGGGCTGAACAGCTTTCTATAGGCAGGAATTCTGAAAACCATGTTTTTCATCTTGATTTTTGTCATCTTACCACCTACAATACCTGGACTAGAGTAGACATTCAAATATCTATTAATAAATGAATAGGTAAAAATTATGTGGTCCCAACCTGACTCATCAGTCTAAGAGCACATTAAAGGTAAGAACTCTCTGCCTGGCCAGTGTGGCTCAGTGGCTGAGCGTCAACCCACACACCAGGAGGCTGATGGTTCAGTTCCTGGTCAGGGCACATGTCCAGGTTGTGGGCCCAATCCCCAGTGGGGAAGCATGCAGGAGGCAGCCAATCGATGTTCTCTTTCATTGATGTTTCCATCTCTCTCTCCCTCTCCCTTCCTCTCTCTGCAAAATCAATAAAGAAAAAAAAGAGAGAGTAAGAACTCTCTATCCTCTAGATCCCTGTCTTAGAACCAGCCCACTGGGATGACACGTGCACATGTCAAGTACAGAATGGGGGAGCTCCTGCTGCTCGTCCACTTTGCTCTGAAGCAAGGCCTGCTTGTAGAGAAACCAACTCAGGTTCTGCTTCCTCTGGATCTCTGTCCTGACTTTTTTCTCCAGCAGAGTGAGTGTGCCCACATGAACATGCTCTACACATAATCTATTTCTAGTTGTCTCTAGAAGACTTCAGGGCATAGTTATATAAAAAGCCAGCAGCCCTGGCCAGTTTTGCTCAGTGGTTAGAGTGTTGGCCTGCGGTCCAGAGAGACCCGGGTTCAGTTCCCACTAAGGGCACGTACCTCGATTGCAGTTTGTCCCCAGCCCTGGTTGGGTCATGCGGGTGGCAACCACTTGATGTGTCCCTTTCATGTCAATGTTTCTCTCTCTCTCTCTCTCTCTCTCTCTCTCTCTCTCTCCCTCTCCCTCTCTCTCCCTCCCACTCTATCTGAACAAAAAATAAAAATGGAAAAATGTCCTCTGGTGAGGATAAAAAAAAAGAAAAAAAAAAGCCACTGCAGCTGTCTGCTAAGGGGCTTGGGAAATCTCTAGGCTCTGAACCCTTATTCTCCCATTTCTGACCCCAGGCTGTGTATTTAAATTCCCCCTTTACTCAGTGCTTCCAGATCAACAACTTGGTCGGTGGCCTGTTCAGGCATTTATATAGGTTAATATAACTCTGAAGTCCAGGAGTACACAGAGAACTCTCCACCTACCACATTCCCTTTCCACAGAGTTGCCACTCCCTAAACCCAAACCTGTCTTTGCAGAACTTACTGATGTATATATGGGGAAACACGAATATATACTTCCTCCCTTTTTACACAAGGGATATTGTATCTTACCTTTTTGCATAACAATGTTAGTACATAACGAGCTTTCTTATCTTTTTTTTTTTTTTTAATCCTCACCCGAGGACATTTTTTTTATTTTTTGTTCAGATAGAGTGGGAGGAAGAGAGAGAGAGAAACATCGATGTGAAAGGGACACATCGAGTGGCTGCCACCCGCACGACTCAACCAGGGCCAGGGACAAACTACAACCGAGGTACGTGCCCTTAGCGGGAACCGAACCCGGGTCTCTCTGGACCGCAGGCCAACACTCTAACCGCTGAGCCAAACCGGCCAGGGCTCTTATCATTTTTTTTACAACTACATTTGATTTCATCATGGTACAGAGAGCTAGTGATCACCAAATCTGTTCCTCTTCTTCCTGGACACATAGCTGGATTCTATTTCCAGCACCTAGATGTGGCCTTGTGACCCAGTTCTAGCCAACAGAACGTGAGTGAAAGTGAAATTTCTACTTCCGGGCCTCTTTCATACAAACCTCCCATTCCTGGCTTAATGTACACAGTGAAGGTGGGTTTCAGAAGTGGAAGATGGCCCTGACTGGTTTGGCTCAGCGGTTAAAGCATCAGCCCATGGACCACAGAGTCCAAGGTTCGGTTCCTGCAAAGGGCACGTACCTTGGTTGCAGGTTGTCCCTGGCCCTGGTTGGGTTGTGCGGGTGGCAGCCACTCGATGTGTCCCTTTTACATTGATGTTTCTCTCTCTCACTCTTTCTCCCTCCCACTCTATCTGAACAAAAAATGGAAAAATGTCCTCGGGTGAGGATAAAATAAATAAATAAATACAAATATAGTAAAAAAAAAAAAAAAAAGTAGAAGACGATAGAGCTATTACAGCTATAAGACAAAAGTAGCCTGGATCCCTGAGTTGCTCTGCACAGGGGCATCCATTTTTGGATTTTATGTAGGAGAGAAATAAATTTCTATTGTGGTAAGCCACTGAGATTTGGGGTTTATGTGTTATCGCAATTAGCAGTACCCAAGTGAATATACCCATTGTTCCACAATCTATTAAACTAGTTCCTTCATCGGTGAACATTTAGAACACTATCCATCTTTTGCCATTGCAAACACTGGGATGAATAACCCTGTACATATATCATGTTGCATGTGCACAGGTATCTGTAGAATAAATTTCCAGAACTGAAAATTGCTGGGTCAAAAAATATGTGCATTTGTTAATAGCTGTTGCCAAACTGCCCCACATGGGGTAATCCGTACTCTCACGGGCAATGTAGGAGAGTGTCTACTTCCCCACAGCTTTGCCAACAAGAATGAGCACTCAGTTTTCGGACCTTACTCAATCAGATAGGTGAAAATTTACTTAGCTCTTTTTTTTTTATCCTCACCCGGGGACATTTTTCCATTTTTTGTTCAGATAGAGTGGAAGGGAGAGAGAGAAAGAGAGAGAGAGAGAGAAAGAGAGAGAGAGAGAGAGAGAGAGAGAGAGAGAAACATCGACGTGAAAGGGACACATCGAGTGACTGCCACCCGCACGACCAACCAGGGCTGGGGACAAACTGTAACCGAGGTACGTGCCCTTAGCAGGAACTGAACCCGGGTCTCTCTGGACCGCAGGCAGACACTCTAACTACTGAGCCAAACTGGCCAGGGTACTCAGCTCTTTTTATTCTGTATTTCTCAAAATGCTACCTCTTAATTAATCCAACTATACTGTAGCCTGCCTTCCCCAGTGCCTGTCTCAGGCTCACAGGCATGCAGGCCTGGCTGGGCTCCAGTGTCTGGGAGCCCTGCTGATCTGGTGGGGATTGACAGACACACACAAGAGTTGGATTTCAGGTTCTGCCTTACCTATTGGCCACCCAGTCAGGTGCCTCTCACTGGAAGACTTTACCAGAGCCTTTATCTAACCTGGTTAGTGAGGCTCAGTGAATCGAGCATTGTCTTATGAACTGAGAGGTCCCGGTTCGATTCCAGGTCAGGGCACATGCTTGGGATGCAGGCTCGATACTCAGTAAGGAGCATGCAGGAGGCAGCTGATAGATGTTTCTCTCTCACACTGATGTTTTTATATCTCTCTCCCTTCCTCTCTCTCTAAAAAAAATCAATAAAAACATTTATATATATACACACACACACACACACACACACACACACACACACGTTTTTTTTTCTAAAGAGGTTTTGGGGCACACAGCACAGTCTTTGGGATCCAAAAGCCCCAATTTAAATTTTAACTCTCCCACTTACTTAGCTGTGTAATCTTGGGAAGATACTTAGTCTCTTTGATCTTTGGTTTCTACATGAAAAGATAATAATGCTTATTGCATACATTTGTGTGAGCTGCTCTTACATAATAAGTACTCATAAAGCAGTAATTGTTATTTTATATATATTTGCTAAGTGAAGAAAAAGGCCACAAAACAGCCTGTAGTAAACAACATTATTGTTTTTCACACACACACACACACACACACAATGCATTCTAAAAGAACTGGAAGGCCCTGGCTGGTTTGGCTCAGTGGTTAGAGCGTTGCCTGCGGTCTGGAGAGACCAGAGTTCAGTTCCCGCTAAGGGCACGTACCTCGGTTGCGGTTTGTCCCCGGCCCTGGTTGGGTCGTGTGGGTGGCAACCACTCCATGTGTCCCTTTCATGTCGATGTTTCCCTCTTTCTCTCTCCCTCTCACTCTATCTGAACAAAAAAATATAAAAAAACTGGAAGAACAAATATCAAAATGTCAAAAATATTTGTTTCCTTTTTCTTTATGTTTTTGTGTGATTTCTTAGTTATCTAAATAGAGTCTGAGCTACTTTTGGACTTAGGGGGGCAAAACTGGGTAGAGGAGGAAAATGTAAATAATAGGCACCAAACTGCCAGGGCAGTTTCTATCCTCTTGGGATTTCTTAGGGTTCCCTCAAAGAAAGGAATTAGCCTGCAGGGAACATAGGTATTTTTGCTGCTGGACAGCCCTTCCTTTGGGGAAGGGACCATCTCCTCCCTCAACCGTGTGGCTCTGTGGGGCTGTCAGACGTGGGTGTGTAACCTAGGCAGGCCAATCAGATTACCCTCTCCCTTTGGCACAGTGATTGGCTCAGAGGGACATGTGACCCAAGCAGGGCCACAGCCTTCCCCAGATTAATGGAAGCCAATAGAGTCTCTTTCCTTTTAAATCTGGAGCTGAGCTGAAATACAGGCTTGGGCTACCAGCAACTCCCTCATGCCTAATGGAGAGATTCTGGTAAGAATGAGGCCCACATACACAGAGGACTGAGACAAAGGAAGAGGAGTGCCCGAGCTTTGACGGCCATGTTGGAGACACTGATCCAACTACAATGGCTCAAAGCCAGTCTGCCCCTGCTGTTCCTAGTTATTTGAGCCAGTATATTCTCTTGGTTTAAGCTAGTAAGTTAGGTAGTTTCCTGTTACATGTAACCAAAAAGTCCTGATGAATACATGAGCTCTGGTCATACCAGTTGCTGTCATACCTTCAAGGTCATCAGATCCAATCCACCGGGCAAGATGTTGAGGACGGTCTGCCCAGAAGTGACCTCTTGGAGGATCTTCAACACTCGTGTGCACTCTTTGACCCGCTGATGCACCTGCAACAGAGACAGTCCCGGTGGGAGCTGGAACACTACACAACCATCCATTGAGAAACTCGCTCCCCTAAGGAGCCAAGGAAGAATGAAGGGATAGTTTGCTCACCCACGTCTCAGCAAGCACCATGGGCCCCACATGCCGAGAAAGGCTCAGCTCCTTCTCAGCAGCTCACATAACAGTACATCACCTAACAGGACAATGGAGTTGGACCTGCTGTTCACACTCTGCCTACCTACCCCTGGGGTTGTCAGGAGGACCAAATAAGACAAAGTATATGAAAGCATTTTGAAAACAAAAGGAAATAAAGTTTTATCAATCCAGTATTGGATTCTACTTGCCTATTCATTGCCCACATCTACTGTTTCTGGCTGCCTAGCACTTACCAGCTCCACTTCTCCTGCTCTGCCTGAGGATTGCCCCCTACCCTGCAAAAAAAAATAAATCTAACAATGTTAGATTTCTGATGGGAACGTCCCACTTTGGTACTTCTCCCCAGCCTAGGAGTCTCCCTCCAGGATTTTCCATACTGCAGCCTGGGGCACGGGTGGGAGACTGCAGGAGCAACCTCCCAACAGTCCCATTCTCTCAGATGGCGAGGTCAAACCTATGCAAGCTCAGAGCTGTCAATAACTGTGATTCTAATTTCATAAAGTCAGCCAGTTTGCAGAAGAGACCAACCAGTGGAGGATACAGGGATGAGGTTGAAAAACAAGTCCTGATGGCATTTGGGTCTGGTTCCAATGGTTTTGCCCTTCCTACAAGTCCGCTTACATAAGCCAACCAATTCTTTTTGCCCAGCAAACTTAAGTTGGGTTTCTGTCACTTGCAATTATAGAGTCTTGATTAATATCTCATTTCTCCCTATTGATGTGGCAAGTTCGGATTTATTAAGACTGAGATTTCAAGAGAGGTTAGATAAGTCTTCTTAGTGAATGCAGTACAGGGAGGACAGGCTCATTCATTCTTTTTCCCCAACTAGCACAAGCCTACCTGGCAATTCCGAACATGAAATTCCTTCTCCCCTTCCTTAATCTGACGGTAGGGAATCCATTCCTCCTCTAGCAACTCATTAGTGGGCTGCCTCTCTTCTGGAGCCTGCTTGCAGAAACAGGTGGTCGCAGCTGACCCATCTCTGAAATACACATGCCACCAGAGAGAAATCAGAGGACACTCTTGAGCTTATTTCTCCCCTTTACCAAATCCTCCTTTGCAGCCAAGACACTCTGGATCATCCTTAATAGGGGGAAAATCTGGGGGTATGCATAGAATAGGAAAAACATGGATTTTGGAGACTGACTGGGTTTGAACCCCAACTCAGCTATGTCACTTTCAACAAGTTATTTAATATCTTTGAACCCTGGCTTCCTCACCTTTAAAATGGATATGGTACTTCCATGGTTGTTGTGAGGATTAGGGGACTAGCCTATATCCTAGCCCACCGCAAGTACCCAATCTACAACAGCTCACTATGACTGCCATCCCTCACCTGTGCTCGGTCACAGCAACCACAAAGCCACGGGAGGCCAGCTCCATGCAGAAGGCTGAATATAGTGTCCTAGAGATTCAGGAAGGAACAGAGAAAAGTGATCAGAAAAATGGCCTATCCTTAGCCCCCATTCTAATCATTCTCTGCTAGTGACCATCTCAGAAGACTGAATGGAGGAAGTTTCATTTGTAGCAGCCCTTCTCAAGATGTTTCTCAGCCAGAATATCCCTGCTCTCAGCAAGGCGCCCAGTGTCCTCCTCTGGGAAGCATGTGCAAATCAATCCATGGTGTTTTCCAACCCTATACACTGACTCTCATCTACACACACACTACCACCACCACCTCCAATACAGTTTGGCTACTTCAACAACTGCATTTTTATTGTTATATTGTATGTCTCCCAAATAAGTTGGTTAAGCACCTTGAGGACAGGGACTCAGGCTATTTCTTCAATTATGCAAACATGTATCTGTGATTTAGCAGGTGGAATTTTATGCATCTGTGATTTAGCATGTGGAATTTTTGTGTGTCCTCCAACTTTACAGGAAAAGAGAGGAATATGGCAGAAACTGTTAACTGCCTACTCCAAATACCTTTCCCCCTTCCTCCTTAATAACAGAATCTGGTTTTCAGCTGAAGACACTGTCATGCCATCAAAACATGACATTTCGCCCTGACCGGTTTGGCTCAGCGATTAAAGCATCAGCCTGTGGTCCTGAGAGACCCGGGTTCGGTTCCCGCTAAGGGCATGTACCTCGGTTGCAGTTTGTCCCCAGCCCTGGTTGGGTCGTGCGGGTGGCAGCCACTCAATGTGTCCCTTTCACGTCGATGTTTCTCTCTCTCTCTCTTCTTCTCTCTCCCTCCCACTCTCTCTGAACAAAAAATGGAAAAAATGTCCTCGGGTGAGGATAAAAAACAAAACAAAACATGGCATTTCCCAGCCTCCTCTACAGCCAGGTTTGTCTGTGTGACTGAGTTCTAGCCCAGCAACAGAAATATAATACTACCCTCAGTAACTTATAATATACTTAGCCCAATGTAGCCAAACATGATCACTTCAACATACAATCAAAAATTTTAAAAAATAATGTAGTATTTTAATATGTTTAAAATATGAAGTCTTTGAAATCCAGTGTATTTCATATTCATATCACATCTCTATTTGGACCAGCCACGCCTCACATGCTCAATAGCCACATGTGGTTAGAAGCCGCTATAATAAAACAGTGCTAGTCAATGGGATGTGAGCAGTTGTGTTATATAGAACTTAACGGACATATCTTTTTTAAAATATGTTTTTATTGCTTTTTCAGAGAAAGAGGAAGGGAGAGGGAGAGAGATAGAGATAGAAACATTGATCAGCTATCTCTTACATGCTCCCCGCTGGGGATCGAGCCTGCAACCCGGGCATGTGGCCTAACTGGGAATCGAATCGGTGACCTTTTAGTGCATGGGACAATGCTCAATCCACTCAGCCATACCAGCCAGGCTCAGGAAATCTTAATAAGGTGAGTGCTCCTTTCTTATGGCCTGGAATATGGATGTAATGGCTACAGCAAAAACAGCCACCCTGCGTCATGAGGTATCTTTAGGAATGGAAGCCACCATGGCAGAGCAAGATTATAAAAGAAGTCTGCTTCTGATAACTTTGTGGGACTTCATAGCAACCCTGTCTACTGCTAGCTTTCTTTTATCTGTGAAAGAAATCAATGTCATTTAGGTCACTATTATTTGGGGGTTTTCTGTTAAATATAACTTCCCCAAATCCTAACTGATTCAGGAAGGTCAGATTCTTTAAAAAAAAAAATTTTTTTTCCTTTATTGATTTTACAGAGAGAGGAAATGAGAGGAAGAGAGAGATGGAAACATTGATGAGAGAACATTGAATGGCCGTCTCCTGCATGCCCCTCACTGGGGATTGGGCCCACAACCTGGGCATGTGCCCTGACCGGGAATCGAATCAGCGACCTCTTGGTACATGGGTCGACGTTCAACCACTGAGCCACACTGGTTGGACAGGGAGATCAGTTTCTTTCTTTCTTTTTTTTTAAATCCTCACCCAAAGACATTTTTGCATTTATCTTCAGATACAGTGGGAGGGACAGAGGGACGGAGAGAGAGAAACATTGATGTGAGAGACACGCATCAAATGGTCGCCACCCACATGACCCCAACTGGGGCTGGTGACAAACTGCCATGGAGGTATGTGCCCTTAGCAGGAACCGAACCTGGGACTCTCTGGTCTACAGGCCGACGCTCTAACCGTTGAGCCAAACTGGCCAGGGCAGGAGATCAGTTTCTTAAGTGTCTTTTTCTCCTGAGAGGCAATGAACTGGACATAAGAGCCAGAGAGATTGCTGATCCCTTTCTAGTTCAAACTATGTAACCCTGACAAGTATGCCTTTCAGAGCCTGCCTGCTCTTCTGTAAAATATACACCCCCTGCCTACCCAAAAGGACTATGTGCAAACCAAAGGAGATAATGGCACATTGCAAATGGTTAGGTACTGTTTAAATGCACACACCCTTCTCTGGGATGGGAAGCCAAGAGTCTATGACCCCTGGAAAGGATTTCAGAGCCCGAATTAACCACAGAAACTATGCAAGGAGACCACGTCCCTTCCCCTCCCCATTTCTTGGAATTTTGCTCTGGTTAATAAAGCATATTTATTTGTAACTGGCTCACCCAGGTCTATTGAGGTGTGATGACTCAACACAGATTCAAAAAGACTACTCTCCAAAGTCATGTGCTCATCTGCAGTATATATAAAATACCTGTGAACTTAGGAGAGAATGTTTCTTAGCTTCTTTTCTCCGCTAGACTGTCTTTCTGAGGGCACGTACTCTGTCTTATTCATTACTGAATACCCAGCCCCGGCATAGGTCCTGGCACATGGCAAATACTAAACTTACTGAATAAAAAAGCAATATTGAAAACCAGCTATTATCTTTCTACCCTCATCTCACATCAACTCCCCACTTCCTGCCTTAGGCTCGTTACATGAGTCCACATTCAGGCTCCTCTAGTGGATATGAATTCCTTGTTTTGTTATCTCTGAATGTATCACTTTCCTCTCACACCAAGAGGTTGGCACAGAGCAGGTGCCCAACAGATATTTTCTGAATGAATGAGATCCTAGAGAAACATAGCCTTTGTATTCATTCAATAAACATTTACTGGGAAACAACTACTGTCCAGGTACTGCCCCGGACACAGGAAGAGAGAGAAGACAGACGTGGTCTCTGTCTTCACAGAACTTACAATCTAGTCAGAAAGACAGACACTAAAGAATTATCATGCAGCCCTGGCCGGTTTTGCTCCGTGGTTAGAGCTTTGGCCTGTGGTCCCGAGAGACCCGGGTTCGGTTCCCGCTAGGGGCATGTACCTCGGTTGCAGTTTGTCCCTGGCCCTGGTTGGGTCGTGCGGGTGGCAGCCACTTGATGTGTCCCTTTCACGTCGATGTTTTTCTCTCTCTCTTCCTCTCTCTCCCTCCCGCTCTATCTGAACAAAAAAATGAAAAAATGTCCTCGGGTGAGGATAAAAAATAAATAAATAAAATAAATAAATAAAAAACATGAAAACATGTCATTTAAAAAAAAAAAAAAAAGAATAATCATGCAGGCCAGCTGGTGTGGCTCAGTGGTTGAGTATTGACCCATGCACCAAGAGGTTGCCAGTTCAATTCCTGGTCAGGGCACATGCCCAGGTTGTGGGCCAAATCCCCAGTGGGGGGCATGCAGGAGGTAACCAATTGATGTTCTCTCTTATTGATGTTTCTATCTCTCTCTCCCTCTCCCTTCCTCTCTCTCTAAAATCAATAAAGAAAAAAAAAAAAAAGAAGAATCATGGAAATAGTTAATCAGTTACAATTATGGTAAGCACTGAGAAGTATAGATTGTCTTACGAAAAAACACATTACTGGAAAACTTAAACTAATATAATGTAGGAGTAAGGATGTGTGTCCTTAACTAAGTGACATCCAAACAAAGCCTTGAAGGTAATCTGGAATTAGCTGGGCAAAAGAGGGAGAGGGGGAAGAGGAAGAGAAGAGCAAAAGAGCACATATTCCAGGCAAAGGGAGAAGCCACAAAGCACAACACGGATGAAAATTCTGAGGCAGAAAATAACACAGTGAAAGGAGGTCAGTTTGTCTGGAGAGCCGGAGTGGGGTGAGCAGCAGGAAATGAGGCTGGAAACTTTGTCTAGGACCTGCCTCCAGGTAAGACCATGAAAAGAGCTGAACTAAGTTCAAGGGGCTATTAAGAAGATTTAAGTAGAAAAGTTCACTCATTCATTCAATAAATATTTATTAAGCACCTACTATCTGACAGGCACTGCTCAAGATGCTGGAACAACACAATCATATTTGGCTTTAAAACAGATCTCTCTGCCCTGGACTGTTTTTCTCAGTAGTTAGAGCATCAGCCTACAGATGGAAGAGTCACGCGTTCGATTCCTGGTCAAGGACACGTACCTTGGTTGCAGGTTCCATGCCTGGCCCTGGTCAGGGGTCTTTTGGGGGCAACTAATCAATGTGTCTCTTTCATATCAATGTTTTTTTTTTCTTTCTCTCCCCCCTCTTCCTTCCACTTTCTCTAAAAATCAATGGAGAAAATATCCTTGGGTAAGGATTAACAAACAAACAAAAAACAATATATCCCCCTTGCTATGGTGTGTACAGTGGTTTGGGGGGACGAGGCAAAAACAGATGCCTTTGAGATATGAAATACTCTGGGACATAAACTAAACTTATATGTTGATGCGTAAACAAGAACATTCACAAGTTTAAATAGGGACATATGTACTAGTTATTGAGCTAAATAAAACATCGAGGTGTAGAAATCAGAATTCGTGCAAAGAATTCTGACTGGACACTGACTTATAAAATTGAGGCCAGAGTCTCCCAAGTCCAGTGGTAAAAGAGATCTTACAGTTCACCAGCCTGCGTCCCTCCGGGCAGAACGAGGACTGCGTGTGTGTATTCCGACTAGGCCAGTCTAACTGAATCCTCACAAACCACCCTGGGGAGCAGCATCCCCACGTGACCGATGATGAAACCTAGGTGCAGAGTTCTACCACGTCCCAGCTCACACAGAGCGCGGGTGGTGTGGCTGAGAACCCACAAGGGCAGGGAGCGAGTCCACCCCACTCACTGCTATGTCAGTGCGGTCATCCTCCAACGTGTGTGGAATAAATGACTCTGACTACAGGGCTCAAGCTCCTTCTCACATTTCTGTGCTGGTATGTAGGAAGAAAGCTAGCAGTGCTGATTTATGTAAATGCTGGAACATGAGACGCGAAGGATGTGAAGCCAGATGAAAGGCTCCGCCAGGTGGAGCAGCTTGGGAAAGGCCTTTGAGGGAAGGTGGACCCAGTGCTGTGGAAGGAGGCAGATGGTGGATAAGACAGCAGGCAGATGGAAATGTCTGTTTCTCTGCCCTTTGAGAATAAGACTCAGCAGCTGTCACCAGGCACGGAACATGACAAGGTCTGAGGGAGGAAAGCTCTTACCTGAAGGCTCCCAGGCCATGGGAGAAGATGATCAAGGGGTATCCAGAGTCCTTTGTCTTCAAGGGGCCATTCCAGCTAACAGGCAGGCGACAAGACCCTGGCAGAGACACGGGCTATAGAATCTCTAGCTGCCCCAGAGCTGTAAGCCCAAGGGTGGCATAAGCATGTGAGGGAACACATGTCCCTCCTTTCTGGAGGACCACCATGTACCCCTGAGCAGCCCAGGGCAACCAATCCACTTTTCTTTCCCCTTTTCTTCCCTAGAAAGCATGACACAATAGAAAACGGGAAGACAGATCCAAATTGGAAGTACTGAACAACCAGGGGGTAAATCACTGAGATGCCAAGGCAGTGGGTAGAGTTCCTAGTGGTGGGGTCTTTGGGGGAAGTGGATGAGTCAATGGAACCCTGCCCAGAGGAGGAGCGCGCCAGAGGGGGAGCCGCAGGAGACAGTACGCTCTCTGGCAGCTAAGAACGTTTCTTTGATCTACACAGCCGGCAGAGTGGGAATTACATGCCAAATACATGAGTAACAGCCACCAGCTATGGAGCACATTCTCTGTTCCCATCGCTGCACTAGAGGTTTCACATACATCTCACACTAGAAACCTGCAAAGGTGAGTATTCAGGCAGGCTACATAACTTGCCCAAGCCCTACAGCTAGTAAATGATAAAGTCTAGAGTCAAATCCAGGACAATCTAACTCTACAATAAAGTGCGTATTATATACTTCTCTCCCAACTCTCCACACCATGCTGGCTAATGGGTGCCCCACTACAAAAGAGCTGGGCAATGCAACCCGTAAGGTACTGTGTCTACCTGGGGATTTCCTAGGAACATAGCCAAGAAGCTGGGAAAACATGTAGGGGTGAGGCCAGCTCTTACCCACAGCCAGGTTGAAGAGCAACCCCCCCCAGCGCTTATTGAACTGCAGGTAATCGGCCAGGCCGGTGCAGTACTCATAGCGGGGGATCCACAGGGGCTGCTCCGCGGTCTCCTCTGCTTCCTGGCAGGGATAGAAGAGTCGAAAGAAGCTCCCCTGTAGGAAAGAATAGAGCAGCTGCAAGATTTCCCAAGCATCGCCGGATTTCCCAACAGACACGCTTAACAGGTGTTCGGGGCACCAGCAAAGCACCAAAATGGGAAAACTTTAGCTTTAATTCATATACCTGAATTCTGCATTCAAAAAATCCAGAAAGAAGCAATTTTAGTTTTAGAATACACATAAGGCTTGTTATTTCAAATAGCCAACTGTATTTTGAATTAGATCTTGGGGGCCCCAAAATATTTTCAGTGCCTGGAACATCGAAAGATTAGAATCTGTCCCTGAGCCCAGGCCTGGAGGAGCCCCAGGAGTGAGAGATGAGCCCTCCTACTGAAATGGGTGGCACGGATGGGTCACCTCCAGGCTGGCCCCTGGGAAGCAGCAGCACACTCTTCTTACACAGGAGTAGGTAAGAGGTTACCAGGAAGAATGTGCCTCTCACAAGGAAGAGGGGAGTCCAAGGGCCAGCGGAGAAGGATCTAGGAACTGATGGAGGAAAAGTCTGGAACCAAAGCAGGAGGGGAAAACAAATGAAGGCAGGAGAGGAGAATAAGCAGACTGTCACCCTGGCCAGTTTGCTCAGTGGTTAGAGCATCTGCCCATGTACCAATGAGACCCGGGTTCGATTCCGGCCAAGGGCACGTGCCTTGGTTGCAGTTCGTTCCCAGCCCTGGGTGGGGTTGTGCGGCAGGCAACCAGTCAATGTGGCTCTCTTGCATCGATGTTTCTCTCTCTCTCTATCCATCCCTCCTAGTCTGTCTGAAGATGAATCGAAAAATGTCCTCGGGTGAAGATAAAAAAAAGAGAGAGAGAGAGACTGTCTTCCTATCCAGGGTGGGAGTCACAGGCCAGTGGCACATGGTCCACTGCTCTTCCTCTCACACACTCAGATTGGTAAGAGATCAAAAACCTTTCCAGGATCAGGCATCTGCTCTCAAGGCGGGTGAAAGGATCCTGCCTGAGCCTTTCCTGCTAGCTGGAGAAAGAACCCATCATCTCCAGAGAAGTTCTTCACTGGAAGGAGGAAGAAAAGAGTCAGAGAACACAGACCTAGGGGTCTATAACCAGACCCAGACGAGCTCTAATTCAGTCCCCCGCACCCCTGGGAACTGCACCATCAGACTGGCTGTCGGTAAGTCACAGAGCAGGCAGAAGCAGTGCAGAGGTGCAGGGAGGAGCTCAGACACTTACCTCAGGAGTCTGGCCCTCCATCACATCCCCGCAGCCCACCAGGTGGGGTCCTGTGACAGGTGGAAAGCCCACGGACTGGTTGACCCCCATCTCACCACCAGCTGAATCGAGTAACGACTTGGGCAGTGCTGACCTTGATGGCTGGAGTGTGGGACACAAAACAACCTCTTGCTGGTTCCCTCTTAACTTCCTGTTGCTTACACATGTCATCTGCCACCACTGTCCACCCCTCCTTATCACCCCATCCTCCCAGCCAGTGACTCATCTTCCACATCATCGGCTTTGCTACACTGCCTTTGCCAAGGGTTAGGGGCTGCTTTTTTTGTTGTCAGGGACAGGGTGGTAAGGAGATGTCTGTAAAGAGCAGAGACAGCTTCCAGGCTCCTCAAAACCTACTAATAAGTGTTTACTCAGCAACTACTTTGTGCCCAGCACCGCAGTAACTGCTGCAGAGAATATAACACAGACCTTGTCCTCACGAGGCAAAGAATAATAACTATTTAGATCTATCATTATTGTGTCAGCACTGAACTAAGATCTTTACATTCTATCATTTCATTCTCTCGACAAACGTCTGAAGAAGGTAATTAATTATTAAGACCCTGTTTTAGAGATGAGGAAACTAAGGTAGAGAGAGGTTGAACAACTTTCCCAAGTCACACTGCTGACAAGTGGCAAAACCCAGGTCTGCCTGATCCAGACCTGAGCTCTTAACCCTTACTGATCCTGCTCATGGGGAGACTCAGTTATACAGTTGACCTTTGAACAACATGGGTTTGAACTGCACAGGTCCCCTTACACATGGATTTTTTCAATAAATATACAGCCGGCCCTCCATTTCTCTGGGTTTCGTATCCTCAGATTCAACCAACCACAGATCAAAAACAGCATTTCGATCTGTGTTGGGAATCCACAGATGAAGAGGGCTGACTGTATGCATCGTTTCACACCATTTTATATAACAGACTTGAGTATCTGTGGATCTTAGTGTCCATGGGGGTTGGGGGGAGGAGTCCAGGAACCAATCCCTTACAGATACTGAGACACAACTGTAGTTGAGTTTTGGGGGGTTAAAAGTTATTCATGGATTTCTGACTGTGTGTGAAGTTGGTACCCCTCACCCGCCATATTGTTCAAGGGCCAACTGCATATTTATAAAATCACTGACCTAAACTACTGACTACAAAGGTGGCACTTATGCTGGGTCTTGAATCATGAGCAGGGCCCTGGCTGGTTTGGCTCAGCAGTTAGAGCGTCGGCCCGCGGACCAATGAGTCGCAGGTTCGATTCTGGTCAAGGGCACGTACCTCGGTTGCAGTTCATCCCCAGCCCTGGTTGGGGTCGTGTGGGAGGCAGCCACTCGATGTGTCTCTTCCCGTTGATGTTTCTCTCTCTTCCTCTCTCTCCCTCCCACTCTATCTGAACAAAAATGGAAAACTGTCCTCGTGTGAGGATAAAAAAATAAAATATGAGGAGGACGTAGGGGCAGGAAAGAAAAAGGAAAGCATTTCTAGACAGGACATAATATAAGAGCAAAACAGGGCAGAGACAGGAAAGAGTATGATGGGGCAGCAGCAAAACTGGAGCCTTCAACGCGGCAGCTGTGCCCACTCCTGACTAGAAAACTGCTATAACTCGGCTTCTTCCGACCTGGGGCCAAGGCCACTGCTCCCATCCCTCTTCAGTCTCCTCACCACCGGCACCACCATCAGCATTATACTTACTCTGTGCCAGGAACCGCGCTAAGTGCTCTCTATGAATTATTTAATTGAATCCTTTCAACAATCCTCTGAGATACTTACTGTTATCTCATCTCACAGATGAGGAAAAAGATGAATGATAAAGTCAGCTAGCAGAGCCAGAATTTGATCACAGGTAACATGGCTGTAACTGTGGACAGTGTCATCAAACTTCTCAATATCCACTATATCTTGCCCTCTTATACAACAGCGATGTGATTTGGTTGTGGCTGATCCATCCCTAATCTCTAGAGTTGGGCCTTAATTGACCTGAGCCAATCGGCCCTTGGTATCTCCTGGTCAGTATCCAGATGAAGAGTGGGTACGTGACATAAATTGATTCAGTGACAGTAAAGCCCAGGACTCTGGTTTGATGGTGAAGGGTGGGAAAGTTCTTGTTTGAAACTACAGTGATGTGCAGATGTGAAGCCTTGAACTGTTGTTGCAGCCACTTTGCTACCTTGAGGAAGAAGCTGCCCATAGAGGATGGCAGAGCTGAGAGAATCAGAGAAACAGGGTCGTATTTGTGAAGACATTAAGAGTCTCTGGATTAGACTACACCTCAAACCTGACCCAATCCCAGATTTTCTAATTACATAAGTCAATAAATCCCCTTTTCTGTTTAAACCAACTGAGTTTGGATTTCTGTTGCTTGAACCCAAAGCACCTGAACTGATATACTGAGTCCTGAGCCCGCATTTTTAGTTACTACATTATCCTGCTTTCTTTAAGATGCTCTGAGATGGATCAGAGAGTTTAAGTCAAAGTACGTTTGGGCAAGAAGAGACCTTAGAGATAATTTCCATCACTCCTCCCACAATCATCTCCGCCCCCACCCCCCACCAGCCCAGTACATACATGTGCTTTATTGATAAAATCAAGGGCCTACATGGTTAAGTGAGCAGCTGAAGGTCACAAGCAAAACTATATTACACATTGATCTCCTGATTGCCAACTGTCTGATCCAGCAGAAACCCCAAACAACCAACAATCCTATTGTCATTCTGTTTAACTTTGGAAGATGATAAATGATTTTCTTTCTACTATGCACTCCTTCATTTTCTTTCTCTGAAGCAAATTTAAAAGTAAACCCAATTCGCCTGACCAGTGTGGCTCAGTGGTTGAGCGTCGACCCATGAACCAAGAGGTCACCAGTTCAATTCCCGGTCAGGGCACATGCTCAGGTTGTGGGCCCAATCCCCAGTGCGGGGCATGCAGGAGGCGGCCAATCGATGTTCTTTCTTTTTTTAATTTTTTTTCCTTGATTGGTTTTAGAGAGAGAGGACGGGAGAGGGAGAGAGAGATAGAAGCATCGATGAGAGAGAACATCAACTAGCCACCTCCTGCATGTCCCCTACTGGAGATTTGGCCCACAACCTGGGCATGTGCCCTGACTGGGAATCAAACCGACAACCTCTTGGTGCATGGGTCGATGCTCAACCACTGAACCATACAGGCCGGGATCGACGTTCTCTCTCATCGATGTTTCTCTCTCTCTCTCCTCCTTTCCTCTCTCTCTAAAATCAATTTTTAAAAAAGGAAAAAAAAAGGTAAACCCAATTCTGTATTTTTTTTTTAATTCTCACCCAAGGATATTTTTCTATCTATCTTCAGATAGAGTGGGAGGGAGGGAGAGAGAAAAACATCTACATGAGAGGGACACATCGACTGGTTGCTTTCCGCACAACCCTGACCAGGGCCGGGAAGTACCGCAACCAAGGTACATGCCCTTGAGCGGAATTGAACCTGCGACCACGGCCGACGCTCTAACCACTGAGCAAAATTGGCCAGGGCTAAACCCAATTCTTTTTAAGGAGTTAGGCTACGCTCCTGATGCATTCAGTGGACTATTTAGCCAGAGTGAAATAGAATGTGTGCTGCTTAGTCTCAGACCCTGACCTTTCCCCTTGTAGTTAACGGCATACACAGGAACACAAGACACATGTCACCCACATGACAATGAAGTAGCGGAAAGTTCTCATTGCCATAAAACAGGGTCAGATAAAATACTGCAGTTCTGCCCTGGCCGGTTTGGTTCGGTGGTTGGAGCGTCGGCCTGCAGTCCAGAGGGACCGGGGTTCGGTTCCCACTAAGGGCACGTACCTAGGTTGCAGTTTGTCCCAGCCCTGGTTGGGCGTGCGGGTGGCAGCCCCTCAATATGTCCCTTTCATGTCGATGTTTCTCTCTCTCTCTGTTCTTCTCTCTCCCTCCCACTCTATCTGAACAAAGAATGGAAAAGTGTCCTTGGGCGAGGATAAAAAAAAAAAATAACTGCAGTTCTAAGAAAGAGAGCTCCTTTAGCTCGGGAGTGGAGAAGGTGGATAAAGTTGACTTTCAAGTAGAAGAAAGAGTGTGAGCAAAGACACAGAGGTAAGAAAGCACGGATGAGAAACAAAGAATAGTCAGTAATGGATGCCAACGAGAAATGGAAGGTGTGATCAGATTTGGAAGGTAGCAGTCCTCAAATGCTAGAGTAAGGAGATGGAATCAGCTCTGGAAATGAGGTCATAGATATGAGAGCAATGACGTCTGAAAACCCAAGTTTGAACCCTAGCTCCTTTGCTGCCTAGCTTACCTTGGGCAAGTTTTTCAATCTCTACGCCTGATTCCCTGTCTGTACAATGAGAATACTATCCTTCTTCATAGGGTCACTATAGAGATATATGAAATAATGCATTTAAACCACCCAGTGCAGTACCTGGCTTTTAGGAAGTAGCTGGGAAATATCTGTTGATTGAGTGAAAAGCAGAAATAAGATTTGGCAACCGAGTGAATTCGGAGTCAAGGGAGAAGGAAGAACCAAGGATGAATCAGGTTTCTGAATTGGGTAGAATGATAGCAGCTTCTTGTGGGAAGAGATTTTGGTCTTACCCCACAGAGAACAGTGCTTGGGACTGGAATCAGGATGAGTGAACTTACAAAGAGCTAAACAGAAGGAGAGTAAAATCCTCTGAGAATCCTGGAAAGTTCCTGGAAAGGTTATCAACTAAATTAAGTCTGGAAATAAATAAAAATGAAAGAAGCTAATTGGCCACAGTGAGGCTAACATGAAACTGATTCTGCATTCCCTGGACTCACACTGACTAATGCCCAAGTAGAACAGGGAGATGGAAAAATCCAATATGACTTGCAAATTTTGCCTAAGAAACATCCACACAGAGCATCCAGAGTCATTTCTAGTAATGTTATGGAATTTTCCAAGGAAATTAGTCTAGGTATCTCTACTTTGTTTTGCTAACCTTTTCTAAACAATTCATGGTGGTGCCTAGAAGACTCTCCATCCACCCTTCCAAACCTGCCCCATTCATCAAGGCCCCATGAAATCCCTGGTCTTCTCTGAAGCTTTCCCAAGTCCTTCCAATCTTCCTTTCTCTCAACTCTAGGCACTATTTGCATTCTCCTCTGGTAACTAATCACTGGCTGCCCTATGACAGTTCTTAGATTAGAATCTATTCTAACAGTTTTCAATCAGTGACTTGCCTAAAGTGGTCCAAGTAGAATCTAGATCAGAGATTCTTGAACTTATTGTTGCAATCACCTGAGAAACTTCAAAAACACAGATTTTGGGCCCGGCTGGTGTGGCTCAGTGGTTGAGCGTCAACCCATGCATTAAGAGGTCACCAGTTTGATTCCTGGTCAGGGCACATTCCCAGTGGGAGGCATGCGAGAGCAGCCAATTGATTCTCTCTTTCATCGATGTTTCTACCTCTCTCCCCATCTCCCTTCCTCTCTCTCCAAAAATCAGTAAAGAAAAAAAAAGATTTTGGGGCCCCCATTCCCAGAGGTCAGATCATTTTGAAAAGCTTCCCACGTTTCTGATCAGCAAGGTTTCAGTACCTCTGGTTCAGATGGTACACAGGATTTTTCTTTTATTCAGACACGTGTGCATGCAACATTTACTGAGTGTTCCATTCCACCATTTTTATTCAGTGTTCCAGTTCATTCTTTTCTCTTTTCAGTTCATGTTCATATAAATGAAATGATTTCACTTGGTTTAATCCCTGCGCCACCAGAAGCATATTCATTTCTGCCAATCACTAGGCTCAATGTAGTACCCTGCAATAATAGATCTTAATAATCCATTTATCCAATAAATGCTCTTTAATTTTTTAAACACGCCTTTTCTCTTCAAATATACTACAGAGAGAAAGACTGTTTTGTACTTCTTTGCAGGCCAAACCATTTATTTTCATTCTTTTCCCATATAGTAGGGACTCCCAAAAATATCCCTTTATTTGGCTTTATTTTAAACCCTCTCAATTCTTTAATCTGTCTTTTTGTTTTCTTAATTCTCACCTGAGGACACTTTTTGCATTCATAGAGCAAGAGGGAGAGAGGAAGGAAGAGAGAAACATCGATGTGAGAGAGACATCGATTGGCTGCCACCCACACAACCCCAACAGGGCCAGGGACAAACTGCAACCGAGGTACGTGCCTTTGGTGGGAACTAAACCTGGGACTCTCCAAACCGAAGGCTGATGTTCTAACTGCTGAGCCAAACCGGCCAGAGCTATCTCTGTCTTTTTATCTAAAAATAAAACTATATGTTATAGTGAGGAAAAGAAAGGCTTTGGTGAAGTCCAAATTCACCTCTGCCACTTAATTAGCTCTATAATCTTGAGCAAGTTCCTTAAATTCTAAGCCTCTGATAATTTATGCACATGATAGAAATAGTAACCATCACTCATGAAGTTGATGAGGATTAAATTAAATAATATATGCAAAGCACCTGATATATAGAAGGCACTATAACCATAAATGATAGCTCTGACTATAATTATAACCACTTGACGTGTTTGGGCCTAAATTCCTTGTATGTAAAATGGGGACATAGTAAAATTTAAATTAAGAAAAGTGATATTGCCTAGGGCCCGGTACATTTTAAGTGCTCATAAAATGTTAGGAATTAATAATGTTGTGCCTCTCTTTTATCATACCTAGCCAAAGTCTCTTTGATTTTTTCTGGATTAAACTCTTTAGCAAAATGGACTCTCTCCTCCCAATCTTTCTGGGCCTGAGACACCCCTACCAAAACCACAATCCACTAAACAGGCCCAGAAGAGCCCACAGGGAATGGATAGGGCTTATGCTGCAGCTGTCCATCTCCTGCTGGGGTCCTGTTTCCAGTGATCAGAGACCTCCCTCTGCCAGCTGTGTGGACTTCTCATCACTGGCTATTTCGGGACAGAGTCCAAGATAAGCACTGCTTTTGGGCTGCCTTTCAGGGAAAGCTCTCTGGAGACTTAAAGCTCATTAGCCTGACCTTTGGTCTCTGGAGGAAGTGAGGAAATATCATCCTGCTCTTAGAAAACAGAGACACCAAGCACTCAGGGGACAGGCTTGAGCAACAAGGGGACAGAGCTAAAAAAGGAGCCAAGATACGATTGTTCCAGAGCATTAATAATTCTAATAATAATAATTTCTCTCGCTTGTGGAGGCTTTACAGTTTTCACAGCACTTCTACACATATTAGCTTATTGGCTGCACAACACAGCCTCACCCTAAGAGTGACAGAGCAACCATTATCTCCATTTTGTAGATGAAGAAAGTGAGTCCCAGAGAAGTATGGTCACACAGCGAGTGAGCTGCAGAGTTGGACTAGAGCCCGGGTCTGCTGACTTCCAGTCCTGCATGGGCTTTTCCCGCAATAAGGAATGGCGAGCCTTCTTCCACTAGCATGAAAAACAGCAAAGTGAAGGTAATGGTGAAGCACACAGGTGTGGCGCATAAAGTCCAGGTTTCAGAGAGGTGAAGCCGTGGGCTCAGGGTGGGTTTTGGGGATGGGTCTTTTTTTTTTTTTTTTTTTTTTGGTATGTGCCCCTAGCAGGAACCGAACCTAGGACTCTCTGGTCCGCAGGCCGACGGTCCAACCGCTGAGCCAAACTGGCCAGGGCTTGGGGCTGGGTCTTAAGACAACAGCGTAGGGTGGGATTCCAGGAGTGAAGGGTGGAGAAGACGCTGGGCGAGCTACGGGTGTGGGTGGCTACTGGAAGCGTCTGCGTAGGAATCAGAAAGCACGAGAGATTAACGTGAAGTTCCGGGGATGAGAAGAGGAGCCCTAAACCGGGCTGGGATATGGAAAAGTCTGCAGACACCTCAGTTCAGAACAGGAGCTTTCCCCCTATCAAACTTACCCAGACAAGTTGACCTCTCAGAAGCAGCCCACACGGTCACCTCGACGGAAACAAGAAACTGCCCCGGGGCCCACGGCCCTTTAGTAGTTGTAGTTTCTAAAACTCAACATTGAGGCTTGAAAGCACGTCGCACCTCTCTGTCCTGAACTACAACTCCCGTGGTGCACCGCGCAAGATTGCGCATTTCGACCCTAGGACTACAACTCCCACAGCTCTACGCGGCCCTTTGTCGTTGGGTGAAACCGCCCAAGGCCCGCGATGCGGCGCGATTCCTCCCCCTGGTGGTCAAGGAGCCGCCTCCGCGATTACAAGGCTCGAATGGAGGTTTCTGCCTATAGTCCCGTTAGCAACTATCAGCCTCACCGTTCCTTAAATAATTACTAGGCGTGCCGACAAACAGCCTGGCTTCACTTTATTTTTAGGGACGTGAGATCTTGTTTCGAGTCCCTCCGCCCCAGTTTTGTTGCCGTTGAGAATATGAGACTGATTGTTTAGGTGAAGGGTGTATTTCCTACCAATCTTTACCTGTCGACACTTGTAATTTTTCATTGTCCTTCTCCAAGAACAAGGAGACATGAGAGATCACCGGTCCTCTTGTCCCCCGGCCCCTGCATCGCCCTCACCTTGCTGGCCCTGTGCTGCTTCTTAGGGACACCTTGGTGGGTGAGATACAATACCCAGCCTCAAAAGAATTCACAGTCCACCAGAGGATTCCAACAAATGAATAATTACAACACAGTGAAATGTACTCTAATGGGAGAAACTCAGAGGGTTGTGGGAGCTTTGAAAGATGGTACCTGCCCCGGGGGAAATGGAGTCAGCAAAGCTTCTTAGGTGTTAGAGAGAAGTTAAATTGAAAATGAAGGAATAGAATTTAGGAGTACAGGGAGTGTGAAGAACGTTTTACCCTCTGCTGGAGCACAGAGTGTAAGGGGTGGAACACAGAGAGAGACACCCGAGGAACAAGGAGGACCACATCCTCAGGAGCCTTGTCAGCTTTCATAAAAAATTGGGGGCGGGGAAGGGATGGGGACATCTGTAATGGTGTCAACAATAAAAATAGTTAAAGAAAAAGAAATTTAGATCATTCAGGCAGCTCAAAAACTTTCATTGGCTTCCTACTACCTATTTCTTAGCCTGGCATTCAAGGCCTCCCCGACCTGGTCCCCACCTTCTCCTCCAAGAGTGTTGCTGGTGCTCACCTGTGACAGGAATCCCTTCTCTTCTGCCCTGCTCCACTCCCAGCTACATTTACCTCCTCACCATTCTCACAATGTATCAGGTCCTACTTGTCACTTCCACACTCATGCTCTTCCCTCCTCTAGGTACATTGCCCTGCCTGGTGTCCTGTCTAACTCTGTTCTTACTTGAAAATTCTTGCCCTAGCGGGTGTGGCTCGGTTGGTTGGGCGTCGATCTGTGCACCCAAAGGTTGTGAGCTTGATGCCCGGTAGGGGGCGTGCAGGAGGCAGCGATGTTTCTCTCTCCCCGCTCTTCCTTTCTCACTAAAAATCGACTTTAAAAATCTTTTTTAAAAATAGAAAGAAAAGCCCTGGCCAGTTTGGCTCAGCGGTTAGAGCGCCGGCCTGAGGTCCAGAGAGACCCGGGTTCGGTTCCCGCTAAGGGCGCGTACCTCAGTTGCAGTTTGTCCCCAGCCCTGGTTGGGTCGTGCAGGTGGCAGCCACTCAATGTGTCTCTCTCTCTTCCTCTCTCTCACTCCGCTCTATCTGAACAAAAAATGGAAAAGTGTCCTCGGGTGAGCATTTAATTAATTAATTAATTAAATAGAAATAGAAAGAAAATTCCTCTAGGTCACCCTTTCTCTCCGTGAAGTTTCCAGTCCATTCCTAAGGGACCTCTTCTCCCCCCCCCCCCCCAAGGGACCTCTTCCCCCCTCAGTTCCCCCTTTCTCTCCGTGAAGTTTCCAGTCCATTCCTAGGACCTTCTCCCCCCCCCCAAGGGACCTCTTCCCCCCTCAGTTGCTGGAATATTTGTGTGCGCCTCTCATTTGGGGGCTTAATTCACATAGCCTTGTGCCATCTCCTAGGTGGGAGATTTTAACCCTGCAATAAATTGTGAGCAACTTGAGGTTAGGTGCTGAGTTCCACAGCTGATCCTTCCACGCAACCCACCCCGGGAGTACCCTCAAATCACCGGTGTGCTTTTGGCTTCTTTAGGCTCATCCCTCCTCCTGATACACTGTCGCCACTACCATCCTTCCAGGAGCCAAGATAAAGTCATCAGGAGAGAGTGATGGCAGCACTGCACTGTGGTAATTAAGCTCCGGATTTAATTAAAGCTGTGGTTGGTGGCAGTGATGGCAGAACATGAAAAGCTTAGTGCAGAGCAGAGTGGTTCCCTTTGGCTAACGAATTGGTTTTCTGCAGCTGGCCCAGGACGCTCATGATTAACCAGAGTCCTGAGGCATGAGAGGGGCAGCTAGAGGTCATTTCTCTGTCTCCTGATCTAAGACCAGGCCATGCTAGGGACATTTGCTAGTTGAGTTTTAAACTTCCCGGAACAGGGATGTCACAGCTGCTTTTGTCACTGTTAGGAAGATCTGCCTTGAGCCCAAACTGTTATTTTAAAATATGTTTTTATTGATTTCAGAAAGAAGAAAGGAGAGGAAGAGAAGCTGAACCATCCATAGGCTGCCTCCTGCACGCCCCCTACTGGGGATGGAGCCTGCAACCCCGGCATGTGCCATGATGGGGGAATCCAACCAGCGGACTCTCCTTCCATTGGATGACACCAAACCAAACGAGTCACACCAGCCAGGCCCATTTTGTAACTTTTGACAATAATATTTTATGTTCAATGATCCATCAATGTATGATACCTGTGTCAATGCCATTCCTGTGAAAGGCCACCAGAAACACACCTGTAATTGAATACGTTGGATACTCACTGCAGGGAGGCAGAATACACATGATGGGAAACTGTGGGGGCATCTGAAAAGAGGGTACAGAAAGGACTCTTAGGATTTGGACTTTTGTTGGATGATTTCAGGGAGGGTTTAAGGAAGCAGGGCTTTGCTCTGGATTGGACGCTGGCAGGAAGTGGGGGTAAATCTATGACTGGGGATTTTAGTGATTCTTATCTAGAAGGAGGGAAAACAGCTGAGGTTAGAGCAGTCATTAGTAAGAAGCAATAGTCTATTATATGAGGGTAGAGGAGTGGTTGGTCCCTTTTGCTCGCGTGTCGTCTGTGTTCAGACATGATTATGAAGTGGTCCTATCTGTATCGTGATTCATCAGGGTCACAGAGTGGCCTTAACTGATATGGATATTCTGTGAAAGTGTTTGTGTTCAGCCAGGGAACACCAGAGACCAGCTGTGAGTGCAGGCCAGCTATTAGGGACTGCTTTTCTCTTTTATATACTAACATATGTTGATGTCTCCTCTGGGCTAGGTGCTGGGTATATACAAATGATTTGTCTTAGTATCCTTAGGAACCTCATGGTTGGTGGGGAAAGTGGACAAGAAAACAAACCCATACCATTGGAAAGCACTGTGGTGGAGGATCTGGGCTCTGGAGACAGGCTATGAATTTAAATTTCAGACCTACCACTTACTAACTGTGAAATCCTGGGCAATAACTATTCTCTAAGCTCCAGTTTCTTCATCTGTGAATGGGGATAACAATAGTATTTACATTATAAAGTCGATGTAGGATTAGATGAGCTAACTCATGGATCACTGATTACTTAAAGGGCTTGGATTTGACAGAGGTGGACCCAGGTTTTGTGGGGCTTGAAGCTTATACAATTTGGGGAGCCCTTTTTAAGAAAAATAATTTTGGGGGGGTACGTACCCCTAGCGCGAACCGAACCCGGGTCTCTCTGGTCCGCAGGCCGACGCTCCAACCGCTGAGCCAAACCGGTCAGGGCAAGAAAAATAATTTTTATAAAAGAAAAATAATTTTTAAATATCTTACCTTTTCAGAATTTGCATATGATTGTGTGAACACATTGCAAGGTCCCCTCGCAGGGCCTCAGAGGGGACTCTGGAGCTTACATTTAATTAGCTACTTGGTAACTCTGACTCTGAGAAGGAGCAAAATTATGAAAGAGCTTTATTCTTTTCAAATCACTGCCTCCAAGCTCTCCTAAAACATTCCAGCTGTGGCTCAAACCAACTCGAGCTCTCCTAGCTCTTTCTTGTATTATAGCCTGGAAGTTGGTAGGCAATGAGCTAGTGATGAAGGAATCAATTGACTTGGGTCCTGCTCTGAATACAGCTGCACTGTCTGACGGTGGGGTGGGGCAAAGGTGTAGTGTCACCATGAAGAGAAGGTATTTTCACACTGAAAAATGAAAGACGAAGCAGGCAACTCCATCGAATATGATAGACCTTATTATAGGATAATTTACTTATGGGAAGACTGGGCAGGAGCAAGGCAAATTATTCTCTGCTAAAGACTCCAGTTACGATATTGTTTTATAATCTAACTCAGGTACCAGTGATTGACAAGACAAAGGGACAAAGAACACAGTGGTGCCAGGGACCATACTATCACCAATTTGATATTCATATGGGCTGTCATCTGGCCATTACTAACAAAAGTATTTATGGTAACAGTTTAGGGAACACATGTAATCATTAACTAGAAGGCTTGGATATGCTTACTGAGGACAGTGAGGTTGCTCAAAGGTCACAGCACGAAAGGACACAAAGATGGAGATAGCTTTTGTTCACTCCATACCTGCTCCTACTGTTTTCAGCACTGGGACCCAGCTGGAGTCCTTTTTTAACATCCTGTTAACAGGTAGAATATGTGCATAATAAAGGTCAAGAATAGTAACTGTATGCCCTGGCAGATTTGGCTCAGCGGTAGAGCATCGGCCTGCGGACCAATGAGTCCCAAGTTCAATTCCAGCCAAGGGCACATACCTTGGTAGGGGTCGGGGCGGTGCGGGAGGCAACCAGTCAATGTGCCCCTCTCACGTCAATGTTTCTCTCTCTCTACCTGAATATAAATAGAAAAATATCCTCGGGTGAGGGAAAAAAAAGAATAGTAACTGTGCTTCTCTAGTGTTGTTACTATAATAATTCTTCCATTCAAAAATATTTATTGAGCACCTAGTATGTCCCAGGCACTGTGTTCAAT